TAAAGAAATGCAACCTTAGCAACTGCTAATTTTTCAATTTTCTATTTTATTTGAGGAATAAACTCTTATTATTATTCTAGACAGCTCCTTAGCTCTAGTGAAGACATTACTTAAAAGGAAAAACCTGATAAACTACAAGCTAGCTTAACCACAATTAAAAATCCCATTGTTTTAAATTATGGGTATTGCAGCTAGTAAACCTTAGATCTTTTAAAGTTGCTTTAAATATTATAATGTCATTATAGAAACCAATCCAAACCATTGAATCCTCTACTAAATCAAAAAATAACATCAAAATAATTTTCTTCATAAATGTAGTTTCACATCAAAATTAACTTAAGTTAGGTTAAGCTTAAGTTTTAAGTTTTAAGTATTAACTTAAGTTAGGTTAAGTAAGTTAAGCGTTAAAATGCCTCATCATTTCTAATGCAATTCAACATAATTTATATACAATCATATTCTCTTGGTATTTACAACTATGACTTAATATTATATACAACTATTTACAACTAATGCAAATTGATCGTTAACAATCATAAAATATAATTACACTTTACACTTCCCCTTGGTCAAAATGACCATCTCAAGGACTAAACCGCTCAGGAGTTCTCCTTTCTTGTGTACTTCTACATATTGCTGGCATCTTATTTGTTTTTTCTCCAGGCAGCGCAACCTACAACTCTTCATCATCCTCATTTAAATCATTGTCCCCTCTTCCTTGTCCAAGATCTTCATTCGAATCATTGTCAACTCTTACTTGTCTTAGGTCTTGTACATGTCGACACATTTTGTCCACTTCTACTGTTTGCTCTGAGATTATCCTTGTAATTATTGCAATCTTATATTGAGAGTCGCATCGGTTATCAAGGGGTTTAACCCATACATTATTGCCAAGTTTCAATTTATTGGTTATCTTCCTACAAGGATCATGTGCACTCTTGTTGTTATCAATAACTCTTAATATAACTTCGTATTGATATAACTTATTTGCAGGTGCAGTAGAAGACTTACAACTATCCTTTAGAATAATGTTATACCAATAAACTGCCTCCAGTATGCTGCACAGAACTCTCTTTGCCAGTCTTTTGACATTTCAGTGACATCATTCAGCAATTCCATTTCCCGAAAGTACATAGGCACCTGAATCAAAGTTTAATGCTCCATTTATTTACAAACTTAGAAAACAATGTGCTTCGAAATGCAGTATCATTGTCCGTTAGTATTTCATCCAGACCTCCTTTTTCAAGAAATATCGTGTTTAATTCCTGAATAACACATGCAGTGATTTGATCTTTAAGATAACGCCATATTGCATACCGTGTAGGTCCACAGTCGATTAAAGTAAGATAGTGCTGCCCCTCATAATGAGTAATGTCCATGCCAAGTTGTTGCCACGTTCTCTTTACTTCTATCTCCCCTTTTGGCCATATTATTGGACTTGGATCGATTGATTGACAGGCTATGAATTTCTCAACAACTTGTTTTACTTTTTCTTCCTTGCTGACTGACGGGTCGATTTTACGAGCGAAGTACAATGTTTTCTTTACGCCATAATGTCATGTGGATCTATGAACGTGCTCGATTTCTTTGGAAAATAGCGAAGCACTAATAATGCCACTTGCTGCCATTTCAGAGGGTTTATCAATTGATTTTAACCAACTATTAGGCACTCTAGTAAGGGCATCGACCAAGTTAAACTTCGAAGCGACAAGTTTAATACCTACTTTGAGTTGGTATTCTTCCACTATATTCACAATGTTATGAAGTCTTCTTCTTATCAGCATTTCGTTTAAAGCTTTTGTTCTCAATCTAGATTTTCCCGTGAGTGCAACTGTAACCCAATGAAATACCGCTTTCGAATCAGTACATATATGCAGAACTTCCATTTTCCAATTAAGGCCCATATTTAGTCCTTTAATTACTGCACCAAGTTCAGACATGTTTATATGTGTTGTGTCTTCTTTTCTTAACCAATAAGCATCTTCAATTACCTTGCCATCAACTTCAACAACCACGCCTAGTCCTATTGAACTAGCATCTACCCAAATTATTGCCTTGTTACTGTAAACACTCCGAATTCCTTTAGCAGGATCATCATTTCATGTTCTTTTCACCATATCATTCAGCATTTTCTCCAGATAATTGCATTTTATTTTTTCATCCCACGTTTTCGTCATGGCATTTGCTGTTCTTTTAACATATGACAAGGCCACACACAACAAACCACAAACTGGAAGATTCCCTGTCATTTTTGCGAACAAAGAAAAGATGCTTCGTCTTGTAAGCAATTTCGGAATTTCACCAAAATCATTATCTCTTCTCCGACACAACTTTTTATTTTTCATTCCAACTTGTAAACCAAGAACTTTTGTTCCATCGAATACGCAGACTACCGGCTTGCAATGAAGCCCATAGATTTCTAAATGATCAAGTACGCAATGAACAGATATTATGTCTTCATTCACAAAAATATCATCAATGTATGATGACATTCCTTTTCAGATTGTTTTGTCTTGCAATAGCACTTTGTCCAACATCGCTTTCATTATGACTGGTGCAACGTTTACTCTGAATCCCAAACGTGTTAAACAAAATCTTTGTTCACGGAACACAACAGTTTGGTAAGACCAAAGTTTTTCATCAATTTTTAGTTGCATGTAAGCTGAAGATAAATCAATTATTGACACATTTTCTCCAAACCGTCTCCAGTTTCAAAGTTTGTCAGCACACACATCTGTGATCACAGTGAATGCTTCAATAAATGTGTTTAGCTCCCTGAAGTCCAATACTGGTCGTACTTTTCCTTTATTTCATTGCATGACTGCCATGAGAGGAACCAAACCTTTTATTGGACCGTGTTTCTTCAAATCGTACTTTTGCAGCCATTTTTTCTCTATCCACCCTTCAATTTCTTTTTCATAATCATGTTTTATGCCAACAGGGATTGTGTATTCAGCAATCTTATTCACTAAAGTTTCAGGTTGAGAATTATTATTACATTTGCAAATATTGATACTCCACCAAAAGCCACTACTCCATCCATACCCATCAAAAAACAATAACCAAGTGGTTTGAAGTCAACTACAAGTGCTTCCACAAAAACTTCATTCCCTTTTGGTGAGACGATTCAAGTTTGGCTAACGAAAATCAATCGTTAACAATCATAAAGTATAATTACACTTTACAATAAATAAAGTGATAAGTATTTCCACCAAACTTGAAATTACGGTAAGCTTTAAAATTAAGGGAATAAGCTCAACAATTTAATATATTTTACACAGTTTTAACTTAGTGTACGAACTCATAAAATTTAAATGTATTATGTTCCATCTGTACATCTGTAAATAAACCAAGCTGTGCAATCTAAACTAGTTCAAAAGTCTATGTTTTTACCATCTTTTCTTTATTTAAAACAAAATCAATTTTAAAAAATTCTAAAAATAAAAATCCTATTTTATTTTTAGAAAACTGCTATTGTCTTAATATAATTTAATATTAAGTAACACCAATTAAATAACTAAACTCTTTTTTTTAAAGTATTTTGTATGTTTGATCTATATGTTTATATATTAATTATATTGAAACAGCCAACTATTAAATGCAAATATTGCATTTAATATTTGATGTCACTCTTGATGAGACTTTTCCATGAGGAAAACCATACTTTATCAATTATTTATTAGTTAATTTCAATATATAAAACCAATTTTTACTAACTGGTTTATACAGAACTATGATTTTTGTAACTGACAAAATAACTAGAACAAATATTTATTCTTAAGGAAACAACTATTTGTTTCTATATAATTTTTCAATTGTTTTTGTAGTGATGCATTTTTAATCTATTTATTGGCACGTTCTTAATGTCCATCTTTATATGGGCCTATGTGTCCTTTAGAACATATATTTGGTGTTCTAATAAATATCTATCTAATCTATCTAATCTAATTATAAACTTTTTACTACAAAACATTATTGTGCTTAAAACTATTACAAACATTATTTATTAAAGGTCAAATCTATAATAGGTGAACAATAAAATCATTTTCATAAAGTTTAAGGTAAATTTTGAAAAAAATTATTCATTTTTATAATTTCATTATTAAAAAAAAAATTTTAGCTTTTAATTATTATAGCCATTTTTTAATCTAAACCAAAAAAAGCTTCGTTTTTTTTGTTGAGGCTAACTTTTTTTTTTAACTAGCTTTTAATCTTTCACACCCAAACCCATTTTAGAATCATTAAGACTTGAAAAGACTTTTCGAATATGAGATAATGTTGCAATTTTATTAATTAAACAAAAAAAGTTTATATTTAATCTAGAGTGGAAATATCATATTAATTCAGCTATAGGTAAAGCAAACAGAAAATTAGGCATGATCAAAAACTCTTTCGAGTATTTGGATGAATTTTCATTAAAGTTACTATACAAATCGTTAGTACGTCCCCATTTGGAATATGGAGCAACAGTTCGGAGTCCATTTTGGAAAAAGGACATTGACAATCTTGAAATCGTGCAACACAGGGCTACGAGAATTGAATCTTTAAGGGGAAGTCGTATGAAGAAAGATTAAAGATACTTGAATTGCCAACTTTGTTTGATAGAAGAAGAAGAGGTGATCTGATTCAAATGTATAAGATCTCAAAAGGGAAAGATATTGTTAATTTTCACCACCCTCCTTTAAATTTTGAGCTGGAGCGATCTAGTAGAAGTAACAATTGTAGAATACGCAGACAATTTACAAAATCAAGAATTCGTCACCATTTCTTTACAAACAGAGTTATAAATGATTGGAATTCTGTTCCACAATGGATATTAGATAAAGATAATTTAAACATTTTCAAAAACAGTATCGATAATTATTTCGGTTTCTGAACACTAATTTTTGTAATTGGCTGTCATAGTCTTAATTCTACGTAATTAAGACCTTACACACCTCAAGTGTGTACAGCACCTTTTTTATTCTATTCTATTCTATATAATCCAAAAAAAAAAAAACCTCCATGTCCATCGAAAACAGCAAAAAAAGCAGCATCTTTATCCTCTTTCATTGAAAGAATATTTGTATGAGCATCCTCCATGTCTAAAGATAAAGGAATATTTAAGATTAAAGAACTTATATTTTTGAGAATAATATAAATGAATACATTTAAAAACGAGAATAGATCTGACTTTGAAAACCTACTAATTCTCCAGCCTTGCATTGACGATGAAGCACATTGGAAATGAGAGTTAGAGATGACAGATGTTTCCTTTGTTGTTGCAGGTTCTGAGAGATGTTGTCCCATTATAAATCATACAGTGTAAATTTTTGTACTAAAGTTTTACTTGAAAAAAACTGTTATGTTTAAAACGTGTTATTAATTGCTATATTTTATAATTAACTCTTTTTACTTTTAAATATTGTGTATACATTAAGATGAAATGAAGCAGATCTAAAACTTATAAAGCATGTTATTATATAGATACTTATTTTCAAAAAAAAATGAATTAATGTGAATAATGGTCATTATGCATCGTCCACAAATTTCCAAGTTTGATAATGTGTTGATAAATTTCTGGAACGTAAATATTACACTAACTTCATAAAAAAATAATAATGAATTTAGATTTATTTTAAAAAAATAATAATTTATTTAAAAAAAATAAAAATGTATTATGAAGATTATTATATTATCATACGTCTAATAAAATATATAAAGTTTATATAATGACGGTATATATCATAAACCGGCATATTATTTATAATCTAAAAAGTTTTTAGTAAAGATTAAATTATTATCATATTATTGAAAAATTCAAAAGAGTTTAATGATAGACCGGCATGTACATCATCAACACCTTACTGATTACCAATTAAATTTAGAAAGTTGAATTCAATAATTTAATAACTAAAGTTTTATAAAATCACTCGAACTATAAGGAGCTTTACGCGTCAATAGCAACACTTTTTATTGACAAGTAAAAAAACGAATATATCAGCATTTCTGTGTGTGCGAGAGTTACGAAAGGCTGAATAATCGCGAATTTCATAAGTGCAAACTGACATAAGTGCGAAGCAGTTGCAAGTTTTATGCGCCGAATAAATTTGCAAACATTGGCAAAAGTGTAAATAGACATAGATGCGAACTGGCATTAGCGCGAAGCAGTTACAAAAACTGGCATAAGTGTTAAATTTTTTTTTTTTATTTGTTTTTTAGGTGCTCCAAGAAGAACTAACAGTCTTGTCACAGAGCACCGCGGAAGCTCGAATCAAACCTCGATCTCCTGCTTATAAAGCAAGCGCTCTAACCACTGTGCCGCGGCTGCAACAATCTCATTACCATAAGTGCGCCGAATAAATTTGCAATCATTGGCATAAGTACAATTTGGCATAAGTGCGAACTGGCATAAGTACAAATCAGTTACAAAAACTGACATAAGTGCAAACTGGCATAAGCACAAAGCATTTACAAAAACTGGCATAAATTTAAACTGGCATAAGTCAGAATTACCATAAGTGCGCCGAATAAAATTGAAATTACTAACATAGGTGCGAATTGGCATATCGCACTTACGCCAGTTTGCATTTTTGCCAGGTTAACAAACTCTTTTGTTGCACTTATGCCAGTTTGCATTTATACCGATTCGCACTTATGCCAGTTTTTGGAACTGCTTCGCACTTCTGCCAATTGGCATTTATGCCAATTCGCACTTATGCCAATGTTTGTAAATTCTTAACACGTCAAGTGTCATGTTAATCAATTTTGTCAGCAGTCTTTAAACACATTATGAGTGTGTTGTTGAAATTGATGTTGCTTGCTTTGTCTTAACAAGATGAATGAGTTTATAAATATTTTTAAAGATTTATAGGCAGCATGCAGTTCACTTAGGATAGAATCAAGCATTATACATATTCTATAATTAAGCATTATACATATTCTATAAATTTACGGTGGTGAAAATTTCATTGCTACATTTAGTTTTAGTTTATATTAAAAAAAAATAACAGTAAAAACCCAGTTTTTAATACAAAGAAGAGTAAAAAGAATAGTTATCCATTCTAAAAATGTTACACGTCACAAAATTCTTAATGAAATTTTTATAGATATAAAGCATATCTATTAGCAAGATCTATTAGCAAGAAAAAATCGTGATAAAATTTATGTACATATAAAGTATATTTATTAGCAAACTATTTTATTAGGAATTATTAACGTTAAAATTTTAGGAGTGTAACAAAAGCTTTCTTAAAGAAACCGATTGTTGCATTCCTAATATTTTAAAGTTAATGAAGAAAGTTTCTTACATTTTAAAGTAATATAAGGCTTTCAAACAAAAATATTATAGATTCAGTTTCGATTTTAATTTTAATTTTTTATTTGTAAATTAATCCGCCACTTTTTAAAATATTCACATTTATTCAGGTCACACACCATCATGCTAAAATCTGGTTATGAAAAAGGCAACCAGCTGCTGCATTCAGGTGGTTTCATTTTTTACCTTCTGCAAAATGTTGCTACGTTCATAAAGGTGTCATTTAGGCAAATTTCTACATGAATCAAACTTGTTGAAGCAAAAATTGAAGTAAACAAAATAAAAATAGTGTGAAGCAGAAAGTTTGGATGTAAAGATCCATCATGAAGCATTACTCATGCCATTTCTGAAACATCTTTTTGAATAAAAAAAGTTGAGAAAGTTTAAGTATAGTTGATACTATTCTTTGCGACTCTGTCCTGTTTTAGTTGCGCAACACTCTGTCCTGTTTTAGTTGCGCAACACTCTGTTCTGTTTTAGTTTATAAATTGATTAGTTTGTGATTTCAGTCTCTATGTTAAAGCTTAGTTTTAAGAAAGTTGCGAACCGGGCTGTCTTAGCAATATAAGTATGTTTAGAGGGCCCCTTAATTATTTTATTGGCCGGTAGAATATATTTTGCCAGTTTACTACTACTAGTACAATATTAATAGTTAAACTTTTGCAAAAGAACTTTTCATTTTTTATATCTCATTAATTTCCAAAACCTTTAAACAATTTATAAAATATGATTAAGATCACCTGTAATCAAAATTATATATGTATATTTTATAACACCTCTATAACTTTCCAAATAAGTTACTCTCAACGCATTTAAAGCAAGTTGTATTTTTTTGTCTCGCTTTTTTATGAAGTAAAATAAAAAAGTGTTATATAAGCATAAAGCATATTATACAGTAAAAGTTAAAACATTTAAAAATTGATAGATAAAATATTGTAGAATAAGAAAATATATTAGGTAAGTGACATGAAATTTTTAAATTGATCAAATATTAGATTGATATATATCATTGAAAAGAACATTACATGTAAAAAAATTATTGAAATTGAACAATTCTACATATAGTGTTTTAAGTACCAAACTTTTGATATACGGATTTGTTCAAGAAACATTAAAGCGTTGTAACTTTGTCAATTTTTATCCAAATTCATAAAACTTGGTTCAAATAAAGGTCTTAAATGGGACATGGCCTACTATAATAAAAGTAGGTCATGAATGGGAGAATAAATATATATTAAAAATGCACCGAGGGGGTCAGAGAGGGGCATATGACGCTCTCTAATACATTTAAAATTTATATTTTTTTAAAAAATATCTTAATTTTTTATAAAAATTTTGAACTATTATTGGGTTTTTTTAAATCCTTTTGCCGGTCCAGCATTAAATATGATTGAGATACCTTAGTCATTGACAAAAGCGTTTCTAACTTGTTGCTAATATCAGGATACTTCAAAATGAGAATCAATGCCAAAATAATCAGCAATCGTGTATTGATAAAGGCCAGTTTTAGCTAAAACAGAAAGACGGCTAGAACTTAGTTCTAGCCGCTATATTTCTTCAAATTGTTGTCTATTGAATCTAATAATACGTAGGCAAATTCAGGCACTTTTGAAATATCAGAAAACTTTGAAAATAAACTGCTTTGCTGAGCGTTATATTGAAACATCTCAAATAAAGATTTAACTTCTAATTAATTTAGTTTGACAATCTTTTTAACAACAACCAGCTGGTTTAAAGCTTCATTGTTTAATAAACCAACTTCGTTCAAATGCTCTCCACAAAACCTTGATCCAGTGCGTATAAGAATTTTTTTTTGTACATAAGCTTCAATAATACCTTGCCCTGAAAAGAATTAAAATTTTTTTGAAGAGTTATTGTGGCATACGAAACAATAGCAATGAGAAGCAGTTATTCGAGGTATATCCACCAAAATTGGTGGATTTTTTTTACTTTTTTTCTTTAGCTCTATTATTATTTTTTTTTAACTCAACAAGAAAACTTTTTGAAGACTTTAGTGACTTTTCATTTTGTTCAATTATCCGCGGAAAATCCGACACTTGATTTGTTTTAAACGTTTCAGGCAACTCAAGATTTTCTGCTTGAAAATCAAACGAGTCACTATACCCACTTAACAGTGAATTTATTTCCTTATTCTGTGTTTTTCAATACAAGCAGCACAGTAATGTGTTCCATGCTTAATAATATTTTTGTTTTTGTTGATTATTTCTCGTATTTCATTTAGGAACTTTGTTTCTAAAAAAACTCTAGATATTCCACGCTTATTTTTGACTTTATCTAATCTTTTGAAACAACATCCGCATCTATATTAAGTTATTTCACTCATTTTTAGTTTAATCTAGAAAAAAAAATACAACCAAGTTCCAAACTGTTAATCTTTTCATTTTGACACTTTATAATTTTAAAACAACTTTTTATATTCCAGTTGGGAATTCTCTTTCATTGGAAATTTTTTTTAATAACAATTAAGTTAACAACGCAGTCAATTAAGTCTAACGTCTTAAGGTGAGTTTCCACTCATCCGTTTTTTCACGGGAACGGGAAAAATAATCACGTGAGCATGCGTAGTTTTTCTTTAGACATTAAAAATTATACTACGCATGCCCACGTGATTATTTTTCCCGTCCCTTTCCCGTTCCCGTGAAAAAACGGACTGGAAACTCGCCTTTAGAAAATTGCGATTTTTTACATTTTTTTTTTATTAAATAGCCGGTAAAATAATTGTAATAGTTAATTATTATATATAAATAATTATAATTAATTAATAGTTAATTATAATATATAAACAATTATAATTAGTTAATAGTTAATTATTATATATAAATAATTATAATTATTTAATACTTAATTATTAAATATAAATAATTATAGTTAGTTAATAGTTAATTATTATATATAAATAGTTATAATTAATTAATAGTTAATTATTATATATAAATAGTTATAATTAATTAATAGTTAATTATTATTTATAAATAATTATAATTAATAGTTAATTATTATATATAAATCGTATGTATAATAATACGTCAAAATAATAG